TTTAAAACTATTATAATGCTACATATTACGTATGAAAATTTTGTACATAACTTTCTGTTTCTGTAAATAGTGTGTCTGATAAAGAGGTGCATTCGCATTTTCTATATTGTATTTTATTGCATATCTTTATCTAAGAATATAATTGGAAAAACTATATTTTAGCCTCTAAATGAAATTTTCTTTAAATCAAAAATGTATTTATAATCGTCTATATTTAGTTCAAATTATTTTTTAACTTAGAAAGAGCGGGAGATTGGGCCAGTTTCTAAAGGCAATTATCATGCCGCTTTTAAATGCAAATCAAGAATTAATGTTAATTGTTTTTCTTGTGTAAATAAAAATTATTAATTTAAATAATTATTGTAACCTGCTATTTTAAGGAACAATAATACTGTTTTATTTAATTCACAAAAATATAAGCAAAAGAATTAGGTTAAGTGGCAAGTAATAGAGCGTTAAAATGTTTACAAACATAATTTTAAATCATGTGATTTTTTTCAAGAAAATTTAATTATAGGTTCAATTGTGCTGTGAAATAAAAAAACAAGATTGAAAAACATTACTCTATACACTTGTTTTCAAGCAGCTTTTTTAAAATACTCTTTCCGCCCTGTGGGCACTAAGAGGGCCTCTTTTTAGCAGGCCCATTATGGGTTCGGCCCAGTGGCGTGCCGTGACATTTGATGATAGGGAAGCTGTGTTTCTGTAAGAAGCCGACTTCCAGGGGCAATCAGTCAGCAATGGTCTAGGGCAGTGGTTCCCAACCTTTTTTCATTAGCGTACCCCGTGACATGTCATATTTCTAGATTGTACCCCTTGACATGTCATATCTCTAGATTGTACCCCTCATTTAAGAAATTTAGTGAGTAACCGTATTGTTAATTTTACATATTGTAACTTTAAATTAAAGAAAAAAAACCTAAAAGAAAAAATGTATAATGAAGTTGTGATTGTTGCAAGGAACATATTTTACCTAATAATTTTTTAATACTATTAGTTTGTGATACATAATATATTATTTTTTCTGCCATAATAACTAACTTTTTTCTGTACCCCTAAACAACCTATCGCGTACCCCTAGGGGTACGCGTACCA